TTGTCTTGTGACATCGATGGAGTGGGAAAGAAGAGGGGGCGTTTATGGGTGTGTATTTTGTGACAGAAGGGAGGTGTGTTGTAGGAGAGCATGGGTGTCTGTGTGTTGTGAGAGAAATAGAGACTGTATGTTGTGATAAAGAAGCGAGGAGGAGGAGCGGGGGGGAGAGGTGGCGAGGGAGGAGAGAGTGTGTGTGCCTGTTGTGAGAGAATGTGTGTGCTGTGGGAGAGAATGTATGTGTGTGTTGGGAGCAACATAAAAGAAAATGGGAGGGAAAATTGGGCATGGGAAAAGACAGAAAGAGAAGAGGAAGCAGGGAGACTGATTTGTCCTTGTATGTTGTGAGAGAAAGAGAAGGTAGGTGTGTGTTGTGCAAGTGTGTGTTTTAAGAAAGACAGATAGTGTATGTTTGTATATGTTGTGAGCGAAAGGGAGCAGGAGGAAAGGAAGAGAGGGGAGAGAAAACGTGCCTGCAATGTGGTGAGAGAAAAGAGATGAGTGAGCAAAAGAGAGGGGAAGAGAGGAGGAGAGAAGGAAAAGAGAAGGAAGAGAGTGTTTTAAGAGAGAAAAGAGAGGAAGAAAGTTAAAGGGGGAGAGATGAAAGAGAGAAGGGGAGACAGAATTAGACAAAGAAGAGAAAGGGGAAGAAAGAGGCAGAGGCAGAAGAGAGAAGGAGGGAGATAGGGAGGGAGGGAGGGAGAGAGAGAGAGAGAAGAGAGAGAACTGATAGGGAATAAAATTGAGGGCTAGAGAGCTCGTTGTGCCTGTGTGTGTGTGTTGTGATAGAAGAAATGGAGAAAAATTGAGAGTGAGAGAGAAATTGTGTGTGAGGGAGGGGAAGGAGAGAAAAGGGGAAAGAGCATAGAGGGGGCGGAGAGACTGGGAAGACAAGAAGGGAAGTGGATGGAGAGAGAAACAAGGGGGAGGAGTATGATTTGTGCCATAATGCTGCGCCTGTATTGTAGAGACAGAGTAGATGTTTGTCTTATGGTGAAAGATAGAGAATGGGATGAAGGGAAAAGAGAGCGCATGCCATCCAGGCTTCTGTAGGTAGACATTATGAGAGAGAGAGAGAGAGAGAGAGAGAGAGAGAGAGAGAGAGAGAGAGAGAGAGAGAGAGGAGAAGCGAAAAGGGAGGGAAGGAGAAGAGAGGGTGCGAGAGAAAGAAGAGAAGAAAGCAGCAGCGTGTGTAGTTGTGTTATGTGAGCCAGGATGTGTATGCGTTGCGAAAAGGTCTGTCTGTTGAGCGAGAGAAATGAAGAGAAAAGAGTGGGTTAGAGGTTCCAGGTCCAGTTGGCCAACTGATCACTTGGAAAGTGACTCCCTCTCCAAGAAGCAGGAGGAAGACAGCATAAACAAAAAAGCAAGTGGGATGCACGTAGTCCAGGGAACAGCCCAATGGAGAAGTGACCAAAACACCCCACCCTACTCCGCATCCAGGAGGACTCTCCTCCTGTAAAGAGTTCGTCTCTGAAACTCATAGGGGCAGTTCTACCCTACCCTATAGAAGTGCTATGAGTTGGCATTAACTACCTCCCAAAGCCTCAACTACCTCCCAAACCACAAGAACTTCGGTCCTCCAGCTTCTGCAGTCCTCTAGCCCAACTCCTTTCACCTCTAATCCAACCTTGCCCTGCCAGTTCAAACACCCCAAAGGGCAGAGCCCCTCATCCCTAGACACTGCTTCCAACGATGCAAGTGCAATCTGCTCCGCAGTCTTGATCTTTCACAGGACCGAGTTTCGACCTGCAGCCTTTTCAACAAGTAATGTTAGACAAAGTGGAGCTCCAAATGCAGAAGAATGAAACAGGACCCCCAAATAAACTCAAGACAAACTCAAAATACCTAAATGCAAACCTCAGAGGTTTAAGAATCATCAATGAGAAAAATGGAACAGACATAAGGGCCCTATTGCTGGGCGTACATAGACTACCAAGTGTAAGAAAGAACTACACACGTTGGAAGACAAAATGTATGACTGGAACCTAATAAAAATAAAACATGGCACCAGTGGTGAGAGTGGCGACTCCTGGAGGGTGGAGGGAGAGTGGAGTGGAAAGGGTGAACCGATTACAAGGATCTACATATAACTCCTCCCTGGGGGATGGGCAACAGAAAAGTGGGTGAAGGGAGATGTCAGACAGTGTAAGATATGACAAAACAATAATAATTTATAAATGATCAAGTGTTCATGAGGGAGATGGGAGTGGGCAGGGAGGGGGGAAATGAGGAGCTGATATTAAGGGCTCAAGTAGAAAGAAAATGTTTTGAGAATGATGATGGCAACAAATGTACAAATGTGCTTGACACATGAATGTATGTATGGATTGTGATAAGAATTTTACGAGCCCCCAATAAAATGATTAAAAAATTAAAATAAAATACAACATGGTTGTATATCACAGGACCTCATCAAAAGAGTAAAACGAGAGCCTACAGATTAGGAATTTTTTTTAGCAATGACACAACCAACAAGGTTCTAATTACCAAAATTTACAGAACTCTACAACACTTCAATATGAGAATACCAAAAGATTCAATTAAAAAGTGGGCAAAAGACATAGACAGTTAACCAAAAATGACACTCAAATGGCTAACACACACATGAAAAAAATGTTCATGATCACCAGCCAGCTGGGAGATACAAACTAAAATGACAATGAAATCCCATAACCCTATACCCACAATGATAGCTCAATAACAAAAAAATCCAGCAAACAGAAGATGTAAAGAAATTGGAACCCTTTTCTACTTGCTGATAGGCCTATAAACATGTACAACCACTATGGAAAGCAATATGGTGCTACCTAAAACAAGTGAGACTAGAAATCCCATACAATCCAACAATACCTCTGCCGGGCATACACCCCAAAGAAGTAAGAAAATCTGAACACATGTATGCTCTCCCATGGCTATTGCAGCACAGCTCACAATAGCAAGAAGCTGAAAAAAGCTCAAATGCTCATCAGTAGAAGAATGGATAAAGAAACTCTGGTGCATACATGTAACGGAATACTATGCATCCCCGAAAAAGTGATGAAACCATGAAACATTGCATGGCATGGATGGACCTGGAAGCCGCTATGTTGAGTGAAATTAGCCAATCACAAATATTGCATGATACCACTACTTGCCAAAACAAAAGACAAGCTCTTGCTCGCAAGTCATTGAAACTTCTACTCCAGCTTCCCAAGCAATGAGGTAATATGCCTGCCCAGAGCTCATGAATCATATAACACCCCTTATTTTTCACCTTAAAAACCACTGGCTGGGGAGGCCTCACATCTACTGGTTCAATTTCCCATGATGCAGAGAGGGAAAAGACCAATTAGCTTCTGACATATAACATTACTCTATGGTCATTCAAAATTAACAGACACTCCTAAAGAGTGATTATTTAACCTTACTGGAAACTCAAGTCAAGAGGCAGTGGGGTGGTGGACATCTTCCTGGAGATAGCCACTATTCTCCAGGCGATAGGTAAATTGGGCGGGGAGGCATGCCTTAAGTATACTTAACTTAGTTTATATTCAACCCTTGACCAGGCTGTGTACTATAGACAACCAGGACAACGAGGTACACAATATCCTTTGTAGACCATAGCAGAAGAATCAAATTTGGAACTCCATTAAGTGAACTGGACTTTATCGTAAACACAATGGTAACAGATGAAAGGAACTGAAAAACTCCCATGTACCTAAGACTGAAATGACTCTGTCTTTGTGAAAGAACATTAATGAAAGTTTTGCCTTATCTCCAACCCTAATTGTAAATATAAATATTGTTCAGTCACCTAAGTTTTTATCTGTAGAACTCAACAACCCATGTCATTTGGTCTAAAAAACTGTCCTATATATGTATGCTTTCTTTTTCTTGACAGTGTTTTAAATTCTATACCAGTAGCTAAATTAATCGATCAATAGAACCACCATATGGCCCATAGGGAATAATTTATAATGTCCTTCAATAAAATTAAAATGATGTCTTTAATGTGAACCAGTGACATATATAACCCATAGATCTTATGAAGATATAAGAATGTAAATTGAGCTCACGCAAATCATAGCCCCAGTCTAACAACAATTAGTTCTTGTGGCATGGCCCTGCTCAATACCCACCCACATGAAGTAATATGGGTGAAGAAAGCAGATCATGCACTGTTATCAGAAAGAATAGCAACTGAGATCTTAAAGGTTTGTTTTAAAACAAGCAGCCATCTAAATGAGGCTTTGGCTAAGTTCATATGGAAGAAGCACACCAACATGTGTAAGATCCAAGAATAAAATCCAAGCCTGGAGGATGGAATTGTATTAGAGCTTAAATTCTGAATATCCGGTGTGCAGAAGGCTGCGAATGACAGTGAAAACTCCAAATACATTTGTAGGGTTCCCCAGATAGATTAACCTCTGGGTACTCCTCTCTATGGACCAGAAATGGGAAAGGTCATGTTGCCAGACAGAATACACTGCAGGGTGGATGAGTGCAATGGTAGTTAGGTCAAAATGTGACACCTTGTCATTGATCTCTCTCTTGACCTAATGTGTAAGTTCTCCAGTTTTTAACATTTTCTGCTTTGATTCTGACTGAGGATTTTCTTTGTTTCATTGTGTCATTGTTGTTGGGCCATTTGTTTGTATTTGGTTTTGATTTTGTGTGATTCTTTTGTGTATGAAACACAGAGTAGGTAAACCTACAGATACAACAACTGGATGAATAGATTCAAAGAGACAAGACTGGGGAGGCTGTTGGGAAATGAGCACAAACTAGAAGAAATGTCCTGGAATTAATTGTGGTGATGGTTGCACAACTCTTATGAATGTGATCGAACTCTTGAAATGCATGGTATGTGAATGTCAGTGAAATTGTTAAAAATAGAGAAACTACAATATTTTAAAAGAGGGAAACAGAGTTCTGAAATAAAACTAGGAATAAAATGAGTATTTCAGTGGTCCCTTGGCCCCACAAGAGACCATCGGTCTGTAATGTTCTTGTTTCCTTACATCTTTGGAGAGCATCCGAAAGAACAGATTTCCCAGAATTTTCCAAACCAATGATTATAAGTGTTACGCTCCTGGAAATAGAAAAGAGAAATTAGTCCAAGCCTGAAAACACTATTGGACTTAGGCCAAACAAAGCGATCTGCCCTCCTCCTTAGTGGTTGGGGGCTCTGGCTATAGGAGCTCCACTGCATGCACCAATGAAAGGCACAACTAAGGTTGTAGAAGGTGATATGGGAACCCCTCCCCAAAGCCTCCAAGGTGACTTTTCTTCCCAGATTCACTTGCTTTGTGAAACTGGCCATCCACTCCCCAAACTGCTCCCATTCTTGTAGTCGCTGCTTAATCACTTCCCCTCACAATATCTATCATGACAATTTGTGGCTTGAGGGGCTGAGGGCAGATAGACGGTTGAAGAAAATGATGGAATAGGCCTAAAGAAATGGTCGAAAAATTACCTCCTTGATTCTTCAGTGTTCTTCTCCTGAGACCAGCAAGAAGTAAGCAATCGAAGCATGATTCAAATTGATACTGCAATACAATGGAAGTAAGTAAACTATCCCCACTATTAATACAGTGCTGAACATAAGTCAGTTTATGACTGCACACGTTTTGGTCAACAGAAACCCTGGGTTTGTCAGAAGAATTCTGTTACTTCATTCTACCCAACCTTGTCCATCAATGCCCCAGGGGGCTAGTAATCATCAAGTCTAGTGATAAGTGCAACCCTCATAGACCCAGTGGCATCAGGCGTGGACTATCCCTCAACCCTATTTCATCCTTACTAAGGATATTGTCATTCAACCTTGGGAAACTAGAGTGGTGACTCTTGGTTTGAAAGAAAACTTTCAAGAAGGATCCATTTAGGAAATTTGTTCTAAATAACACGTATCTATCAATTGGACTTGGTACATTCACTAACTCTGCTTCTAAGATGAGGTTTGGTGACCTACTAGCATAAATTCCATACAATTTCTGGAACTCTAAGGGACCTCGTCAGATCGGGTGCCCCATTTCCAAATTTTGGGTCAGCAAACTTATAGATGGGTCCAGAGAGTTGGGTAAACTTCCCAGGGCATTCAGTGAATCAGTCAGATTTAGAAGAGATTGCTTCAATCCAAAGCAATAATTTATGTAATCACTTCAAGATTCATTTGTGTTGTAGTGTGGATCAGTATTTCAGTGGGTTTTTTTAATGACTGAATAACATGCCATTGTATGCCTATACCACATTTTTGTTTATTCATCAATTGAGGAACATAAGGTAGGTTGCACTTTGGGGTTGTTATAGTGTGGCTACGGACATTTGTATACACATTTTTATGGACATAGTCCTTAGTTTCTCTTGGATGTATATCTTGCTGGGTCAAAGATTAATTCTAAGGAGCACTGGTGGTGCCATTGGGTGGTGCCGCTGGTTAAGCATTGGGCTGTGAACACTTGAGGTGGAACTGGTACAGATGAGTCAGATTCAGCTATAAAGCCATACTAACCATCAGGAAACAGACATGAAGCTGTTATTGGCTTTGTGTCATAGAGAGATGGCTATCACAGAATCCAAACAATTCAACTCTGATGTTTCAGGCTCCAGTTCTAACAGTTTCATAAGCAAAGCTAGGGTAAGGCTTTATTATTATTATTATATCATAAGCCATATTTAAGGTTTCCCTGGTACCTTGGTGCTGGAGTGGTTACAAGTTGGACTACTAAGATCAGCAGTTCTAAACCACCAACCGCTGCTAGGTTTCCATAAAGAGTTACAGCCTTGGAAGCTCACAGAGGCAGTTCTACCCAGTCCTATTGGGTTGCTATGAGTTGGGATCAACTTGATGGCAGTGAGTTTAGGTTTTTCTGTTGGGAAGTCAGAACCATTCTCCAGGAGGTCCTCATGGGAAGCTGATTGATTTCCTGTGGAGAGGGCCATGCTCTAAGAAATGCTATGAAATGCTGGTCATCAAACTGTGGATGACTCCGCAGAATCCTGCTACGTATTAACAACCTGACATATAAACTGCTCATCACATAGCTAAGCAAAGCCCAGCTGAGTATCAACTAAAGTGGTTTGCTAACCTAACCAAAGTTTCCCCCAACTCTGCCTTTCAACATTAGGAAAATGTAAATCAGAACCACAAGGAAATGCCACTTCACACCCACCCCAAAAACTCGCTGCCTTGAGTCCATGCTGACTCACAGTGACCCCCTCTGTGGGTTTCTGAGACGGTACTGTTTATGGGAGTAGAACGCCCCATCTTACTCCCGGGGAGCTGCTGGTGCTTTCGAACTGCCTATCATGAGGATTGCAGCCCAACAGCGTAACCAGTACATCACCAGAGCTCCTCTCATGGCTATATTTGAAAAGGCAGACAACATCAAGTGCTGGTGAGGATGTGGACAAAACAAACCAAACTCACTGCCATCAAGTTGATGCCAACTCCCAGCAACTCTATAGGACAGGGTAGAATGGCCCCTGTGAGTTTCTGAAACGGACTCTTTTATCCAAGAAGAAAGACCTGTCTTTCTTCCATGGAGAAGCTGGGGTATTTGACCTGCTAAGCTTTCCATTTGATTACACGTCACAGGACTCCTAAAAATGTAGAGGTGGTACAGAAATGCAATGCTGGTAATGTGAAACACAGCAGCCACTTTAGAAAACAGTGTGGCAATTCCTCAAAAGGTTAAACATAGATTAAGTATAAAGACCTATTACAGTTGACTAGATTAGGACTCAAAGTACTCTACAGTACCAAGTGGAACTTCTCCTTCCGGTTTCTGAGACTTTAATGCCATATATATATAGTTTTATTGGGGGCTCTTACAACAACCCATACATCAATTGTATCAAGCACATTTGTACATTTGTTGCCATCATCATTTTCAAAACATTTTCTTTCTACTTGAGTCCTTGGTATCAGCTCCTCTTTTTCCCTCAATCCCCTCCTCCCACTCTCGTGAACTCTTGATAAATTATAAATTATTATTGTTTTCCTATATTACAAGGATAACTGAAGAAAAAATCCAAACTCACTGCCGTGGAGTTAGTGCTCATAGCTACCCCCTGAGGGTTTCCAAGGAGCCCTGTTGGTGTAGTGGTTATGCGCTGGGCTGCGATCCTCATGGTTAGCAGTTTGAAACCATCAGCCGTTCCGCGGGAGAAAGACTGGGCTTTTTACTCCCGTAAACAGTTACAGTCTCGGAAACACACGAGGTCTCTATGAGTCAGCGTTGGCTCGATGGCAGTAAGTTTGGTTTTGGGGGTTGGTGGGTTCCTGAGACTGCTTACAGGAATAGAAAGCCCAGTCTTTCTCCCACTGTGGGCGGTTTTGAACTGCCGATCATGTGGATCGCAGCCCAACGCTTAATCACTACATCACCAGGACTCCAATAGGTTAACAAAGTTAGAAAACGATTGAACTGTGGATTACTGGGCCTAACTTTTCTGCCCAGTGCTTTTCCTGGACCATCTAGGATGAAATCACCCAAATTACACCTACTGTTTTCAGACTCCTTACCTGTAACGTGGAATTGATGATCTGTTTTGCGTTCCTTGAGGTGGCTGGCTGTTTATCGGATGAGAAGTTGGTTCTTTTTTAGATGAAAGAGTATTTGGAAAGGTGTACTGAGATATCTAGCCTTCTCGCCAGACTAACACAGCTTAGATGTCCCTTTATACCGGCTAGAGCGATGACGTAATAAAGGCTTTCAAGGTTCTGACGTATCTATGGCAAGCAGTATGGTTCATAGCAACCAAAGTCACATCTCGCGTCCTTTTATGGTAACAGTTATTACTAAGCGAGTTTTTCATTAATTGATTTTTATTGAATTCTTATTTTCTAAACTTTTAATTGCGAACTGGACGAAGGTTTACAGAGCAGATCCGTTTTCCACGCAATAATTCATACACATTTTGTTTTATCTCATCGATAGCAATCCCAACAATGTAATATCACTGATCCCACTTCCTCCTCTGTTTCTCGTTTCTTTTTTTTAAAACAGTTTTATTGGCACTTCATCCACATATCATGCAAATCACTAGTTCGACCATATCATGAAGAGTTGTACAATCTTTACCACAATCAGAATGATTTTTTTGTAACTAAAACGATGGTTTTTAATGGGAACCAGAGGTATGTTACAAGTATAGAGTCCAACACACAAAACAAACAAACATACCGTGGAGGTGGAAGGTTACAAAGGAACAAGGAGGTCGTGGAGGGTGCGTGAGGACAGCTATTCCCGATGCTGGGAGCCAGGCGAATACCTCCTCTCCCTGCAGTCCTGCCTGTGATCTCCCCTGGAGTCCACCTTGCCAGGGCCCCAAACACCTCTGCCCCCATCACCCCGGCCCCCACGGAAGCCCCCTCGGAGCCTCGGTGGCCTTGGTAGCTGCGCGATCATAGCCACCTCGACGGTCGTCTCTGTGGTTACGCTCCATGTGAGAGCCACCAAGTCCCCCTCCTGGGCCGTCTGTCATGGCCACCACCAGGACCTCTGGGTTTAAAGCCGCCCCTGCTGTGATTGTAAGCGCTGCCGCGATGGCCCCGACCTTTGTAGCCAGCGCCACCTTGTTCCTGATTGCCATAACCACCGCTGCTGCCACTCATGGAGGACTGATCTTGGCCACAGTTACCTCCACCGCCTCCGCCGCCGCTTCAGCTGTTACCACTGTACAAGTTCTGCTGCCCCTAGAGCCCTGAGACAGGGTGTGGGAGCTTTGCGGCCGCGCAGCCCTACTGTCGACCTCAGCCTCCACTCTGCGGCAGCGGCCCGTAGTGGCTGCTCTGTGAACTGCTGCCCGAGCTTCTCGAGGGCGGCTGGGAGCCAGCTGCCGGCCATGACCATGATTGATAGGAAGACTGCTGCCCAAACGATGATTGGGGACTCGGGCTACTGCCATAGCCACCAGTTGAGCCATAGCCCTGGGGAACTGACTGGCCGCCATAACTGCTCGGAATCATTGCGGAGGAAAAGCCATAGCTGCTCTGGCCATAGGCTGCCGTGTCCGCTGACTGGCCAAAGCGCTGAGGTCCTTAGGGCTGATTGCTCCTGCTGGGAGTAGCCTTGCCCAGATTGGCTGGGATGAGGCCCCCGAGTTTTGGATTGCTTGTTGGGCATAGTCGTTTGAGGCCATGTCCGCGCACATGCGCACAAGTTGACAAGCAACAAGATTTCAACTCTGCAAAGCACCGACGCATCAAGGACTGAGCCTCCACCATCAATTTTAGAACATTTTCTTTGTCCTCGTACTCAATGTTATTCATGTATTCTTTTTCAATTTTAGCAAACATGCACAACAAAGCATTCCCCAATTCAACAAATTCTATAATTGAGTGCCACTGATTATACTCTTTGTGTTGTACAACCATTATTGGTTATCCCTCTCCAAATTGTTCCACTATCATTAAAATGAACTCAAGGCCCCCGCCCCCGAAAAAAACCTCTTCCTCTTTCATCTATGGTAACCATAGGTCAAGTTTGGCTTCTTTCTTTCTTTTTTTAGATTTCTGGATATAATATTCA